ACCTCCTGGCTTATTCTCTCCCTATATATTTTAGCTATTTTCTTCATGGCAATGTTTCCAATTAGAAATTTCTATTTTACCGTTGTATATTTATTTGTTTGCTCTTATCTGTCCCCAGTAGATCGTTAGCTCCAAAAGAGAAAGGATCATATATTTTGCTTATCTAGGTAAGCCCATCTGCCTGGTACAATGTCTGGCACATGTTATAGGCAACAATTACTTGTTGAATCAGTGAATACACATACAGAAGAATGAATGAATGAGTGAATGAATGAATGAATGAATGAATGAAAGGATGCAAGGCAGAAATCCTGCCTCAAAGAGCTTACAGTCTGGTAAGAGGAATAAAACATCTATAAATAGCCACAGGACAGGTTAGAGGAAGGAGAGGCTGTATCCAGCTGAGGGCACCCCATCAGGAAAGCACCCCAGACTTCCTACGACTACTGGACATACCTTGATGATTTTCACTTCTCTGTCAATGGACTATCTCCCTGGAGAATAATCCCCAAAGTGAAATTACTTAGCATGTCCAGTTAGGTAGATGGTTATATACTTCTTGGTTGTTCAGAGATCGTCAACCAGTGCAGACAGTACCCCATCAAAACAGAACTGTGCCCGCCCCTCTCCTCCCACAAGCCTTCCAAGGCCCCTCCTCCATGCCTGAGACCCCTGGCCATATCATGTGGCAAATTTAAGGGTCCAATGAGACACAGGAAGTGAAACACGATGTACACTGAAATGTGCAATACAAATTTGCAGCATGATATGCCTCGGTTCACTAAACCAAGCTACGCTGGGTCGTTGTTTTCTACCACTTTTCCTCATGCCTACGGACACCTAATTCTGCCACTGACATTCCTTGTGTTCAATTCCCCCCATCTTCATGGAACGTCCTCTGTGCAGGGGCTTGACCCCGTCCTGCTAGCTTTGCACTAAGGCAAGTTCTGTCTATGCCTAGAAGTGCTACCATCTTTACTATATGAGGTTTCTAAAGATCTTGGCATGGAAGGAAAGACGTGGTCACTTAGGAACTGGGAGAACTCCGGGCAAGCCACTTTATCTCTCTGAGCCTCAGTATCCTCAGCTACGAAGTGGGACTCACATCCCTAAGACTCAGTAGAGTGCCAAGCACATGGTGGACATGCAGAAGTACTGATCATCTTCCTCACCTCCCCTAGGAAAGCCCTTGGGGGTCCCCACATAATATTCTCTGAAGACCTTAATCCAATGAGCAGAGTAATTGACTCAGTACCAAGACTCACAGAAAGGATGCTGGAAGCCAAAAGGAGGTAGAGTATGTCCTGGATGCGATAACCAGTCTCTGATCTGAAAGAAGAAACAACAGAGCTGCAGGCGGGAAGGGTTGGCCTCAAGCCACCCAAAGTGGGAGTGGAAGGAGCACCCACCAGTCCCTCGAAGGCTGTTCCTAAGACTGGGTGAGTGTGGCTTCGAAAAATGTGATCATCCTCAACCCCACAGTCTTGAACCTCAGAGGAAATCTCAAAGCCTGAAAGACACCACTTCAGGATCAACAGCAGATCTGTGACTTTCCACAGCAGGCACAGAGAACCCTGGAGTGAGTTGAGGTTGGATATAGGAAGGGCTTCCAAAACCGCGTCTTGGTTTTGTTGTTGTTGTTGTTGTTGTTGTTTTGTTTTGTTTTGTTTTAAAACAAAACAAAACAAGCTGATCATGAGATGTATCCTGAGCCTTTTGAGACTGAGGTCAGAGGTGTGAAGCCTAGCCTCACCCCACTGGCCATGTGGGGCCCTTGCTGAGTAGTCTCTCAGCCTTCAGGAGCCAGGGATATGGCCCCAAGTGATGCCTCAACAGTGGGCGACTTCCCAGTACTGTTAGGAAAATCCCAAGTCTAATTCAAAGATTACTTTTTACTAGCAATGAAGTATGGATGTGGTTTCCATTGCTCAAGGCCCTGGGAAGATTCTAGACTAGAGAAAAAAGTCACTGACTTCTACCCACACGTGTGGGCCTCAGTTCATTCCTCTGGTCCAGTGGTTGCAATGGTAATCCTTTATAAAGGTGTTTCCCCAGGGGTCTCTAGAGTCCTCTCAGTCACCATAATTCTGGGGGCTACAGAAATGGAAAGTTGAGAGGAGACACTTCCCTCCCTTGGCTTGTCCCACGTGTTCCTGGCAGTAACTTGTCTGGGGAGACTTGCCACCCCTGTGTCCACCTGTGGAGTTATGCAGTGGTCCCCAGCTTAGGCCCCTGCCACTCTCATTCCAAAGGCGACTTCTTCCGTGGTCTAAAGTCCACATCTAAGTCCCCTGCACTGGCTAAAAGGCCCTGTCATGGGGGCTCCATGTCCCAGTTGACATTGGAGGAAGGATGGTGGGGGACGCAGAAAGCTACGTGGAGCTCAGGGACCCTCCTCCATTCCCACCTGGCTCCTCCTCTCTGGTGGTGCTGGAAGGAGCAGGGGTAAGTGGTGTCCTCCACCCTCCCAGTGACCCCATGTTTCTCAGAGCTGGTATCATTGATGACATCCCTCTCGGATCCTCCCACAGGCCTGCCTGGAGAACAGCCCACAGCCCAGTGCCCTCCCAGCAGATGATGAGTCTGGGGTGCTGGTCGGGTTAGTGCTTCAGGAATGACGGCAGAAAATGAGCTCCGTCCTCTGCTCTGAAAAGGGGGAGGTGGCAGGGCCCAGCATTCACATCCTCGACCACAGGGGTGTGGGTTTTCAATGTTGGTTGGCAACCCACTGCCAACCACTTCTAGAAGCGTTTGCTTGTTTGTTTGCTTGTGTTTCTACAGCGTCACGTGCTGGATGCCCTTAAACTCAGGGGTGGAAGATTTCAGGGCAGGAGAGGGTGTTCTTTCCTGCTCTCATCTCTGGGGGCATCCGATGCTTATGACCTTCAGATAATATTGCAGTAGCCCCAACCCTGGGCACCAGGAGACAGGAGGCTCAGTCCTGGCCGTCTCTGCCTTCGCCTTGTCCTGCTGCGAGGTTTCCACAAGGCACCCGGTGCCACTGGGCCATTCTCACCTGGGAATTGAGGGAGAACAATCTGCCCCTTATGGAAGGACAAAATGAGGCAAAGCGCTGCTTGTGTTGGGGGCAGGATCCCTGAACTCAGAGAAATTTAGAAGCTAAAATAGCTGCGCTGGGAGTGGTAGATCACACCTGTAATCTCTGCCAAGGCGGGCAGATCACCTGAAGTCAGGGGGTGTTTGAGACCAGGCTGGCCAACATGGCGAAGCTCTGTCTCTACTAAAAAAGTAAAAAAATTAGCCCGGCATAGTGGTGGGTGCCTGTAATCCCAGCTACTCAGGAGGCTGAGGCAGGAGAATCACTTGAACACAGGAGGCAGAGGTTGCAGTGAGCCAGTATCATGCCACTGCACTCCAACCTTGGTGACAGAATGAGACTCCATCTCAGAAGAATAAGAAAGAAGAAAGAAGAGGAAGAGGAGGAGGAGGAGGAGGCAGAAGCAGCTCAACTGACTAAACTGATTAGCACCACACTACCTGTTCTGGAGAAAGGACTCTGTTTCTTTTTCTTTTTCTTTTTCTTTCTTTCTTTCTTTTTCTTTTTTTTTTTTGAGATGGACTTCTGGACTGTCTCCCAGGCTGGGGTGCAGTGGCACAATCTTGCCTCACTGCAACCTCTGCCTCCTCAGTTCAAGGGATTCTCCTGCATCAGCCCCCTGAGTAGCTGGGATTACAGGTATGCACCACCATGACCAGCTGATTTTTGTAATTTTAGTAGAGATGGACTTTTGCCATGTTGATCAGTCTGGTCTTGAACTCCTGACCTCAAGTGATCCACCCACCCCAGCCTCCCAAAATGCTGGGAATACACGTGTGAGTCACCTTGCCCGGCCTGGAGAAAGGACTTTGAATGACACAATGTGGGAAGAGCAAGCTTGTGGAGTTCTGCTGCCCTGGCTGAGGTACCTCATGCAAGTCAGTCTCTCTGAGCCTCAGTCTCTTGATCTGTGAAATGGGATGATCATAATAACTCCTTCACAAAACAAGTGATAGGTCAGATGTGAGGATGCACAGGCAGGCCCTCTGCAACTGGATAAGCTCTACACCGATCTGGAAAGAAGAAGGAGAAAAAGGAGGAGGGGCTTCCATGGCTGCATAGGGCATATTTCAGCGGGATGTGTTCTGAGTTCCAAAGCTGGGGAGGAGATTCAAACCTTCAAGAGCTCTTCCAACTTTGAGATTCTCTGATGGTTTCAGGGCTATGGGAAGTGCGTGTGGTCTGTGTCTGTTCCCAGGATTTCTGTTTCTTGATTTGTATCTCTGCTGCAGGTTGAAGGAGCTCGGGCAATATCTTGAGTCTGGGTTCTTTGTCCCCACACACCTGGGACCCCCAAGGCTCAGAAAAAGGGGAGGGAAAGTATGGGGTTAGTTCCCTCTAGTGGTCGGTGTTAGCACTGCATCCAGCTGCCTCAGGCGGGCCCAGGAGGACTCAGCAAAAGTGGAATTCAGGTCTGAATCTTGCCCAGAACCCCCAGAATCTATTGGCTGTGGTTGGCCCCTTTTCCCAGCACACACTCTCTCTGGTGGGTAGAGGGGAACCACGCAGGGAGGAGGAAAGGGATAGGATAGAGAGTGGGATGGGGTCCGTGTGGGTCTCAAGGACTGGCTATCCTGACATCCTTTCCCGCCTTCAGGTTGGCCAGCATGGCATGCTGCCAGAGGGCGCCCACCTGCCCCTTAAAGAGAGGCCAGGATGGGTGGTGCCTCTGGCTGACACTCGTGCACAGCGCTGGTGACAGTGGGAAGGGAAAGATGACAAGCCAGGGGATATGATACCAGAGTGTGTGGGAGAAGCTTCTAAATTATCCATTAGCACAGGCACGTCCGTGGTCCCATGCATAAATGTACAAAGAAACAGGGGCAAGTAGGGAGAGAGAAGGGGACAGGGTATAAAAGGGCCCACAAGAGACCAGCTCCAGGATCCCAAGGCCCAACTCCTCAAACCCCTCGGAGTCCTGTAGACAGCTCACCTCGCTGCAATGGCTGCAGGTAAGCGTCCCGAAAATCCCTTTCTGCATTATATGTCCTGAGGGAAAGGCGGCGTCCTGTAGATGGGACGGGGGCACGAATCCTCAGGTTTGGGCTTCTGAATGTGGGTATTGCCATCTAAGCCCTGATAGTTGGCCAGTCTCAGAATGTTCCTGGTCCCTGGAGGGAGAGACAAAAAAGGAACAGCCCCTGAGCAAGAGCACTGCCCTCTGGCTCTCCGGCTCCCTCCCATGCCCTCTGGTTTCTCCCTAGTCTCCCGGGCATCCCTGCTCCTGGCTTTCACCCTGCTCTGCCTGCCCTGGCTTGGAGAGGCCGGTGCCCTCACAACAATGCCAATATCCTCACTTTATGACTATGCTGTGATGCGCGCCCATCGCCTCAACCAGCTGGCCTTTGACATCTACCAGAAGTTTGTAAGCTCTTGACAAATGGATGCATGTCAGGGTTGGCAGGAGGGACGACTCTGCCTTGCTGGGAAGTAATGGGAGGAGACGAAGGAGCTCAGGATTGTTTTCTGAATCGAAGATGCAGGCAGATGAGCATACACTGAGTGAGGTCCCAGAAAAGGAACAATGGGAGCTGGTCACCAGCATAGATATTGATGGGCGGTCCTTCTCCTAGGAAGACGCTCGTAGCCCGAAGGAACAGAAGGATTTCTTCCGGCATAAAGCCAGGACCTCCGTTTGCTTCTCAGTGTCTGTCCCAACACCCACTAATAAACAGGAAACTCTGCAGAAATCTGTGAGTGGCCACCCTCTCCTCAGGCAGGGATGGGGGAGGCCTGTGGTCAGAGCCCCCGGGCAGCCCACCCACTGCCGGTCCTTCCCCTGCAGAACCTAGAGTTGCTCGGCGACTCCCTGCTGCTCATCCAGCTGTGGCTCAAGCCCGTGCAGTCCCTCAGCAGTGCCTTTGGCCACAGCCCACTGCATAGTTTCTTAGACAAGTTCATCTATGAGTACCTGAAGGACCTAGAGGAAGTCATCCAACTCTGATGCTGGTGAGGGTGGAACCAGGAGTCCCCAATCGTGGGGCCCCACTGGCTTCCAGAGCTGGGGAAAGAAACGCTGCTGCTCTCTTTTTAGCAGCTCAGGCCCTGACCCAAGAGAACTCAGCTTATTCTTCATTTCCACTCGTGAATCCTCCAGCCCTTTCTCTACACCTTGAAGCCTTGGAGGGGCGGGAGGAGAAAGAATGAGTGAGAGAGGGAGGGAACAGTGTCCAAGCGCTTGGCCTCTCCTTCTCTTCCTTCACTTTGCAGAGGCTGGAAGATGGCAGCCCCCAGACTGGGGAGATCTTCAGGCAGACCTACAGCAAGTTTGACATCAACTTGCACAACGATGACGCACTGCTCAAGAACTACAGGCTGCTCTACTGCTTCCGGAGAGACATGAACAAGCTTGCAACATTCCTGCGAATTGTGCAGTGCCGCTCTGTGGAGGGCAGCTGTGGCCTCTAGCTGCCAGGTGGCATCCCTGTAGACCCCTCCACAGTGCCTCTCCTGTCCCCGAAAGGTGGCACTCCAGTGTCCACCAGCCCTATCCTAATAAAATTAAGTTGCATCATTTTGTCTGACTAAGTGTCCTCTAATATTATGGGGTAGGGGTGGGGTATGGAGCAAGGGGCAGGTTGGGAAGACAACCTGCAGGGCCTGTGGGGTCTATTGGGAACCAGGCCGCTGAAACATAATGAACTTGATCTCCCTGGGCCAGAAGAAAGCCGGCACAGCACTGCTGTCTGTTACTCACTGAGGCCACTCCACCAGATCGGTGCTCCCAGCTTGCTGGTCACAGCCCACTGGTCATCCCAGTGATGATGTGAAGGCATTTCTTCCCCAATCATCACCAGCAGCACCAAACCTAGCCCCCCAGGAGTGGGAATAAATGAAAACAAGATCAGCTATTAATTGCAGAAGCAAAAATTCCCCAAAACGAGAGAAAACAACGTCTTGGAATTACTTGTGTGCAGAAGAATTTTAAGATGAATATTCCCTAAGCGCAACTACACTTGGGAAATGAGAACAATGTAAAAATGAGTTTGAGACATAAAGAACCAGGACATTTGGGACCTGAATTAGGGCAAGGGAAGTGGAAGACACATTTTATTTGGGTTGTCAAATGAAGTGCCAACAGGTGCCAGATAGATAACAACGTAAGCAATGAGGACTGGATGGGAAGGGATAAATCCCAGCTGATACTCGCTTCCCTTAGGAAGATGCAACACAGAGGGCTGGGAACCAGCACCACCTGCAGAACTCACAGTCCACATCTAAGTCCCCTGCACTGGCTAAAAGGCCCTGTCATGGGGGCTCCATGTCCCAGTTGACATTGGAGGAAGGATGGTGGGGGACGCAGAAAGCTACGTGGAGCTCAGGGACCCTCCTCCATTCCCACCTGGCTCCTCCTCTCTGGTGGTGCTGGAAGGAGCAGGGGTAAGTGGTGTCTCCACCCTCCCAGTGACCCCATGTTTCTCAGAGCTGGTATCATTGATGACATCCCTCTCGGATCCTCCCACAGGCCTGCCTGGAGAACAGCCCACAGCCCAGTGCCCTCCCAGCAGATGATGAGTCTGGGGTGCTGGTCGGGTTATGCTTCAGGAATGATGGCAGAAAATGAGCTCCGTCTTCTGCTCTGAAAAGGGGGAGGTGGCAGGGCCCAGCATTCACATCCTAGACCACAGGGGTGTGGGTTTTCAATGTTGGTTGGCAACCCCACTGCCAACCACTTCTAGAAGCGTTTGCTTGTTTGCTTGCTTGTGTTTCTACAGCGTCTCATGCTGGATGCCCTTAAACTCAGGGGTGGAAGATTTCAGGGCAGGAGAGGGGGTTCTTTCCTGCTCTCATCTCTGGGGGCATCTGATGCTTGTGACCTCCAGATGATATTGAAATAGCCCCAACCCTGGGCACCAGGAGACAGGAGGCTCAGTCCTGGCCGTCTCTGCCTTTGCCTTGTCCTGCTGTGAGGTTTCCACAAGGCACCCCGTGCCACTGGGCCATTCTCACCTGGGAATTGAGGGAGAACAATCTGCCCCTTATAGAAGGACAAAATGAGGCAAAGGGCTGCTTGTGTTGGGGGCAGGATCCCTAAACTCAGAGAAATTTAGAAGCTGAAATAACTGGGTTGGGAGTGGTGACTCACACCTGTACTCTCAGTACTTTGGGAGGCCAAGGCAGGCAGATGACCGGAAGTTAGGAGTTTGAGATCAGCTGGGTCAACATGGTGAAACCCTGTCTCTACTAAAAAAGTACAAAAATTAGCCCACCATAATGGTGGGTGTGTATAATCCCAGCTACTCCGGAGGCTCATGTAGGAGAATCACTGAACCTAGGAGGCAGAGGTTACAGTGAGCCAAGATCATGCCACTGCACTCCAGTCAGGGTGACAGAGACTCCATCTCCCCCAACAGCAACAACAACAAAAAAAAAAACAAGAAGAAGATGAAGCTAAAATAAATAACTGAGTAGCACCACGCTACCTCTGGAGAAAGGACTCTTTTTTTTTTTTTTAAGGGTGTTCTGCTCTGTCACCCAGGGTGGAGTACAGTGACGCAATATTGGCTCACTTCAACCTCTGCCTGTTGAGTTCAAGGGATTCTCCCATTTCACCCTTCGGAGTAGCTGGGATTACAGGCAGGGGCCACCATGCACAGTCAATTTTTGTATTTTTACTAGAGATGGAGTTTTGCCATGTTGATCCAGTCTGGTCTTGAACTCCTGACCTCAAGTGACCCACTCACCTCAGCCTCCCAAAATGCTGGGATTACAGGTGTTAACCACCATGCCCGGCCTGGAGAAAGGACTTTGAATGACACAATGTGGGAAGAGCAAGCTTGTGGAGATCTGCCCTGGCTGGGGTAGCTCATGCAAGTCAGTCTCTCTGAGCCTCAGTCTCTTGATCTGTGAAATGGGATGATCATAATAGCTCCTTCATAAAACAAGTGGCAGGTCAGATGTGAGAATGCACAGGCAGGCCCTTTGACACTGGATAAGCTCCATACAGATCTGGAAAGGAGGAGAAGAAAAAGCAGGAGCGGGTTCCACTGGCTGCATAGGGCATCCTTCAGTGTGATGTGTTCTGAGTCCCAAAGCTCGGGAGGAGACTCAAACCTTCAAGAGCTCTTCCAACTTTGAGATTCTCTGATGGTTTCAGGGCTATGGGAGGAAGCGCTTGTGGTTCATGTCTGTTGCTGGGATTTCTGTTTCTTGGTTTGTATCTCTGCTGCAGGTCCAAGGAGCTGGGGTAATACCCTGAGTCTGGGTTCTTCCTCCTCACCGACCTGCAGGAGCCCCAATGCTCAGGAAGAGGAGGGCCAAGAATGGGGTTGGTTCCCTCTAGTGGTCAATGTTAGCACTGCATCCAGCTGCCTCAGGCGGGCCCAGGACTCAGCAAAAGTGGAATTCAGGTCTGAATCATACCCAGACATCCCAGAATCTATTGGCTATGGTTGGCCCCTTTTCCCAACACACACTCTCTCTGCTGGGACGACGGGAACCATGCGGGGAGAGGAAAGGGATAGGATAGAGAGTGGAATGGGGTCCGTGTGGGTCTCCAGGACTGGCTATCCTGACATCCTTGACAGCCTTCAGGTTGGCCACCATGACATTCTGCCAGAGGGCACCCACCTGCCCCTTAAAGAGAGGCCAGGATGTGTGGTGCCTCTGGCTGTCACTCTGTGTACAACCCTCACAGCGCTGGTGACGGTGGAAAGGGAAACATGACAAGCCAGGGGGCATGATACCAGCATGTGTGGGAGAAGCTTCTAAATTACCCACTAGCACAGGCATGTCCGTGACCCTCCCTTGCCCAAACATACATAGAAACAGGTGGGGGCCAGCAGGGAGAGAGAAGGGGACAGGGTATAAAAGGGCCCACTAGAGACCAGCTCCAGGATCCCAAGGCCCAACTCCCCAAACCACGGAGAGTCCTGTGGACAGCTCACCTAGCTGCAATGGCTGCAGGTAAGGGTCCCTAAAATCCCTTTCGGCATTATATGTCCTGAGGGAGAGGCGGGGCCCTGTAGATGGGACGGGGGCACTAATCCTCAGTTTGGGCTTCTGAATGTCGGTATTGCCATCTAAGCCCTGATAGTTGGCCAGTCTCAGAATGTTCCTGGTCCCTGGAGGGAGAGACAAAAAAGAAAAAAGAAAAAAAAAAAAACGGGCCCTGAGAAGAGCACTGGCCTCTTGCTCTCCAGCCCCTTCCCTTCCCCACCTTTTTCTCCCCAGGCTCCCAGATGTCCCTGCTCCTGGCTTTCACCCTGCTCTGCCTGCCCTGGCTTCAAAAGACTGGTGCCCTTCCAAGCATTCTTATCCAGGCTTTTGGAAGAGGCTGCGCTCCATGCCCATCAGCTGCATCAGCTGGCCTTGACACCTACCAGGAGTTCGTAAGCTCTTGGGGAATAGATGCCCATCAAGGGTGATAGGAAGGGGTGATTTTTCCCCTGATGGGAAGTAATGGGAGGAGATGAAGGAGCTCAGGGTTGTTTTCTAGGCAAAGATGCAGGCAGATGATCATATGCTGAGTGAGGTCCCAGAAAAGTAAGAATGGGAGCTGATCACCAGCATAGAGCTTGATGGGTGGTCCTTCTCCTAGGAAGAAGATTGTATCCCGAATGAACAGAACTATTTCTTCCTGCAGAACCCCAAGACCTCCCTCTGCTTCTCAGAGTCTATGCCGACACCCTCCAACAAGGAGGAAATGCTGGCAAAATCCGTGAGTGGCCACCCTCTCCCCAGGCGGGGATGGGGGAAGCCTGTGGTCAGAGCCCCCGGGCAGCACACCCACTGCCAGTCCTTCCCCTGCAGAACATAGAGCTGCTTCACATCTGTCTGCTGCTCATCCAGTCCTGGCTCAAACCCGTGCAACTCCTTTTGCCAACAGTGAACTGCACAGGGTCTCGAACACCATCTATGAGTCCCTGAAGGACCTAGAAGAAGGCATTCAAACTCTGATAGGAGTGAGGTTTATGCCAGCCAATCTGGGGCCACACTGGCTTCCAGAACTGGGGGAAAGAAACGCTGCTGCTCTCTTTTTAGCAGTAAGGCCCTGACTCAAGAGAAATCAGCTTATTCTTCATTTCCACTCGTGAATTCTCTAGACCTTTCTCTACCCCCTGGAGGGGAGAGAGAAAAAAGAGAGAGGGAGAGAACAGTGTCCAAGCACTTGGCCTGTCTTTCTCTTCCTTCACTTTGCAGAGGCTAAAAGAGGTCAGCCCCTGGACTGGGGAGATCTTCAAGCAAAACTGCAGCAAGTTTGACACAAACTTGCACAACGATGACGCACTGCTCAGGAACTATGGGCTGCTCTATTACTTCAGGAAGGACATGGACAAGGTCAAGACGTTCCTGCGCATTGTGCAGTGTCGCTCTGTGGAGGGCAGCTGTGGCTTCTAGCTGCCGGCTGGCATCCCTGTGACCCCTTCCCAGTGACTCTCTTGGCCCTGGAAGGTGCCACTCCAGTGCCCACCAGCCTTGTCTTAATAAAATTAGGTTGTATCATTTTGTCCGACTAAGTGTCCTTCTCTAATATTATGGGGTGGGTGGGGTATGGAGCGAGGGGCAGGTTGGGAAGACAACCTGCATGGCTGTGGGGTCTATGGGGAGCCAGGCCCCTGAAACATAAAGGACTTGACCCTTCCTGGGCCAGAAGGAAGCTGGCACATGACTGCTGTCCGTTACTCACTGAGACCACTCCACCAGGTCAGTGCTCCCAGCTTGCTGGTCATAGCTCACTGGTCATCCCAGAGATGATCTGAAGGCATTTCTTCCTCCCTGGCACCAGCAACACCAAACCTACCCTCCAAGAGTGGGAAGAAATGAAAAAAAGACAGGCTCTTAAGCACAGAGGAAAAAATTTCTCAACAAGTGAGAAAACAATGTCATAGAATTACTTGTTTGCAGAAGAATTTTAAGATGAATATTCCTTAAGCCCAGCTACCCTTGGGAAATGAGAACAATGCAAAATGAGTTTGAGATGTACAGAACCAGAGCATTTGGGGTCTGAATTAGGGCAAGGGAAGTGGAAGAGAGATTTTCTTTGGGGTTGTAAATACAATGCCAACAAGTGCTAGGTAGATAACAATGTAGGCAATGGGGGCTGGATAGGAAGGGATAAATCCCAGCTGATACTCGCTTCCCTTAGGGGTATGCAACACAGAGAGGTGGAAACCAGCACCACCTGCAGAACTCAAGACCCTGCTCAGGTAGGACCCACCCAGCCTGTCACTGTCAGGACATCAGGGACAGGGCTTCCAGACTTTCTGATTCTTTGAGACAGCCAGGACATCCAGAGTTTTACAAGAAATCTAATGTTTAAACATTGGCAACACATATTGAAGATATTTTAAGGGCAAAAATTAACCCAAACACATATGGTCTCCAAACTGTCTTTGAGCAATTTTGTTCTAAGATATGTTGATTGGGGTAATTTTGTATAAGGGAAAGAATCAGAAAAATGTGGCCTGTATGTAATTTGGCACTCCTAAATAAATTAGTTGACCAAGCTGAGATAATATATTGCTTTTACAAGGATTATGTGAGGATTAAATGCAATGACATTTTTTACATGTTATAGCACTCAAGAAATTATCATTATTTTTGCGTTGAATTTTTGGATGGTTTGCATTTTCTGGAGTGTCTGAATACCTGTTGTGAAATTATATTGTTTTCCTAATGACAACTCAGATGTTTATTATTTTCAAATATGCACTAAGGAGCAGTGGTTAGTTCTTAAAAGTGTTTACTCTCCCAAACACTTTGGCTAGGTGACTGAGGACCTATAAATTGATACTAAGATGGTCACAGGAACTTTACTATCCAAAAATCATTTTATGAAGGCAATAATTATTTTGCAATACAAATAATCAACCCCCTAATTAATCTTCTCTAGAAGTTCTGATTTTTATGTGCTACAATGAATTTTCTTGATAATGACACCCACTTGTGCTCATTTTTGGCTATTTTACAGTTAATAACTCAGTCCTTGGGAAGTGGTTGAAAGTTGAAATAATCAAAACTCTGGAGCTGCTGCATTTCTTAGCACAGAAGCCATTCCTACATCTTTTACCTCGTTCTTCTGCTCTCTGGCTTTTAAATTATGGCATTTTGGAGTTAGAAAGGCCTCACAAGTCATCCTAGTTTCTTTCACTTTGGGAATCTTATCCTTACAGTCAGAATTCCAGTTACGACTGTGTAGCACTAGAACCAAAGGAAGCACTCTTTCACAAGGCTACTCATTCTATTAAACCACTCTCATTGCGGAAAAATATTTCTTGCTTGAAGCTGGAATCAGTATTTCTGCAAAGTCCTTCATTTGGCCTTAAAATTATTTAGAAATCTCACAGTCTTTAGAAGTCGATGGAATGAGCACAAATATAATTATCTCTTGGCTTGCGTGTTTTCAAAGGAAATGTGAGTTACCTTAATAAGTATTTGTTGAATGCATGTGGCCAGGGAATGACAATGGCCAGCGCTTACGTGGGTGGCTAAGAGGGTTCTAAAGTGGGGTTGTTGTAACATAGCTAAACTGCAGGGGCAGCCACGGTCCAGAGAGTGTCCACCCAGCTCCCCTCTGGTATAGCAGAATCCACTCAACCACCCCTGATTGAGAATTAGAAAGATACTACCTGACTTTGCACATTTTAGAATGTAAAAAGGCCTTAAAGACCATCTACTTTAAATTCTTTCATTTGCCAAATGTTATTCCACCTTTCAGCTCGTCACTTTGGCATGGACAGCAATTTCCGGTGCAAATTTGAGATGCCTAGAGTGTTTTCTAAGCACTGCATACGTAAGCCCTCACTCCCTGAGATTCTGGTATAATTATCCCGGAATGTGGTCCAGGCAAGCATACTTTGAAAGTTTCCCAGGTGACTCTATTGTATAAACAAGGTTGAGAACCACTGTGTTAGAAATCCACGTGTCCACAATTGTTGTATTGGTGGAACAGGGAAAAAGGAGATGAGAGGCCCAGGCCAGCTGTGGCACCTAATTCCAACCAGTCATCTAAAAAGTGTTTCTCATGAACCAATCAAAAAAGATAAATACTGTCTGATTCCACTCCTATGAGGTGCTCGGAGCAGTCAAATTCATAGAGACAAAAAGGAGGATGGTGGCTGCCAGCGGCTTCAGGGAGGAAGGAATAGGGAGCTGTTTAATGAGCACAGAGTCTCAGCTGTGCAAGATGAAAAGCTTTCTGGAGATGGATGGTGGTGATGGTTGGCTGACAATGTGAACGTACTTGACATGACTAAATTGTACACATCAAATGATTAAGATGGGAATTTTTATATCTTCTCATAACTAAAAAATTTTAATAGTTTGTTCCAGTTTTTCTTTTTTGTTTTGTTTTTGTTTTTTTGAGATATAGGCTGGAGTGCAGTGGTACAATCTTGGCTCACTGCAACCTCTGCCTCCCAGGTTCAAGTGATTCTTGTGCCTCAGCCTCCTGAGTAGCTGGGATTATAAGCATGCACCACCACACAGGGCTAATTTTTGTATTTTTAGTAGTGACAGGGTTTCACCATGTTGGCCAGGCTGGATTCAAACTACTGGCCTCAGGTGATCCACCTGTCTTGGTCTCTCAAAGTGCTGGGATTATAAGCATGAGTCACAACACCTGGCCCTTAATGGTATTTTCTAATAAAAAAATCTTCCTGAAGATAAGATTAGCGAGACCCACACAAGGAAGAGTTCAGTAGGCAGAGCTCGAGTCATCCTTGACCCCTTGGATAATGTTTTTCTGACTCTGTTATGTTCTGAATTTACCCTCACCTAAAATGATCGCTTCTGAATTTCTTCCATGAGCATTGTTGAAATACACATGATGGGTTTTGTCCCTTTATACACAGTTGAGAGCAGAACTGACCCCTTCCCTTTTCTTCCAAATTACAGGGTCTGGGCTTCTAGGCCAAGACAAGCTGACACTTTGCCTGGCCGCTTCTTTAATTCAGAAGACCCTGGTGTGCTGAGGCACACAGTGAGCACCGCTGGGATTAGGGCTACCAACTTGTCCTGGTTTGCAGGAGACTTTCTCAATTTCAACACTGTAAGTCCCATGTTTGTTCCAAGAATCCCTCAGCTCAATGCAAACTCAGCTAGTAGGACTGGTCACCCTACTAGTAGTCCTAAATCTTAGGGGACCAAACTAAGGGGAAAGGAGGGGAGGGAGGAAGAAAGAGACAAGAAAAATCAGAAAGCTGTGCACGGTGTATATGACTTTTGATGGTCCTCAGGGCTGCCATGGATTTCCGATTCTTGCTTTGAGTTTACTGTGATTATAATGACAGGCGTAATTAGTGCCAGAATTATCAGTGTAATAATAAAAACCAACAAATGTGAACACATGTCTCCAGCACCATGCTAGTGTATAACAAGTACTGTGTCATTTCTCTCTAACTATAATCCGCTAAGGCAAATACTATTTTTAACTCAATGGTAAGAAGCTCCACTAAAGATGTAATTTATGCTTTCTCTGGTCTAGAGAGAAAGGCACCAGAATGTCACCTTGTTCATCCTTAAGAGGATAAATGGTCAGGCACGGTGGCTCATGCCTGTAATCCCAGTACTTTGGAAGGCTGAGGCGGGAGGAGGTCAGGAGTTCGAGACCAGCTTGGCCAACATGGTGGCACCCTGTCTCTACTAAAAATACAAAAATTAGCTAGGTGTGGTGGTACACATCTGTATTCCCAGATTCTGAGGCATGAGAATCGCTTGAGCCTGGGAGGTAGAGTTGCAGTGAGCCGAGATCACGCCACTGGACTCCAGCTCGGTGGTAGAGCAAGATTGTCTCAAAAAAAATAATAAAGAAGATAAACTTTTGGAGTATTAAAGGCCACTGTTCCTCTGGAGATAATCAAAGTAGTTGCAATTTAAGCGTGAGCTGGTTGCTCTAATGTTCAGAAAGAATATGATCAAAACCATTTGAGGGTGCAGCCTCCTTTGAAGGCAGCTACCCTTAGAAGCTCTATTATACTGGATGAGAGAGATGAGATCCTTCCTGCCTTAAGAATCAGTGAGGAGGCGTTGCCTGACCCCCTGGTTGTTGGATCCTTGGGGAAGGAAAGGGAACAGAGGTTCCAAGTCTACAAGGGAAAGAGCCCAGCCTAGTCTGAAGAGCTTTGCGGGACAGCTCATCCAAACTACTGAGCTCTAAGAACTGAAACCCTGGAAACAAGCAAGAGGATACCCACAGCTGGACCAGGCCCCAAAGATGCAGATCATCCTCCCTCAGAGATCCACAGCAGCTGGAAACCGGGATCTGCAGATCCGCTTGGTTTAATGGTACCGTGTGGGACCATCTATCAACACTGACACCCTGTGGCAGTGAGAAGCAAAGGCAGCAGCCAGCTAAGCCTCCAGGATCTCCCTGCTGAAACTAGAAAGTCCAAGTGGCCCCCTTCTTCCCTCCCTTTTTGGTTTTGTTTAGTTTTTTTTGTTTATATTTTCTTCAAGATGGAGTCTCACTGTGTTGCCCAGGCTGGAATCCAATGGCACGATCTCAGCTTACTGCGACCTCCGCCTCCAGGGTTCAAGCCTCAGCCTCCCGAGTAGCTGGGGTTACAGGTGCACAACCCCATGCCTGGCTAATTTTTTCCCCTCCTTTTCGGATCCAGTGTGCTTCAAAGCACTGAGGCCATGAGATAGAATGTGCAGATACAGGATAACTATAGCTCTGATGCAGCTGATCCTGACACGGAAATGGCTGAGGATCCCTGGATGGGGCGGCTCTATACTCCTGTCTCTTAAACCTGCTTCCAAACTTATTTCCCCCGATGCTCAGTTCAGGGAAGGTGGGTGATTAGTATTACATTCACATGATGAGAGAGCAGTAGCTCCACTTCGTGGAAACGTGGAGGTTGAACAGGTCATGTTGGGGAATGCTATTTCACAAAGTCAAGATATTTCATGTCTCTCCAGGAAGCCTTCCTTGATCCGAGTTACGCTTTCTCTTAACAAGCTTTTTTTTCCCAATCATGAGAGTTAATGCTTCAGCATCATCTCCTGCTTGTCTAGCTTTCCCAATAAATCTGTGGAAGCCAGGGACAATGTTTTGTTCACCATTGTATGCCCACTGCCTTGTATGTGGTAAAACCAAAGGGTTATTTTTATACCAAGTCCGAAACACCAGACTCAGAGGAGGTCTGGGAAGAAAAGGAAAATTTTTTCCCTTTGGTGTCTGATGCTACTTTTTTTTCTAGCTAGTATCTGCAGTTTGGAAGGCTATGGACCACTCTCTATGTGGAAGTCTGGACTTTTGTTTTTGCTTTTGTTTCCTTTGTTTTGTTTTTGAGAGAGGTTCTGGCTCTGTTGCCCAGGCTGGGGTGCATGATCTCAACTCACTGCAACCTCCACCTTCCGGGCTCAAGGGATCCTCCCCCCTCAGCCTCTCAAGTAGCGGGGACTACAGGCATGTGCCACTGTACCTGGCTAATTTTTGTATTTTTTGTAGAAATGGGATTTCACCATGTTGCCCAGGCTGTTCTCAAACTCCAGGGCTCAAGCAATCCACCCGCCTCAGCCTCCCAAAGTGCTGGGATTACAGACGTTGAGCTACTACCCCTGGCCTGAATTTTAGTTTTGAAAGAAGGTCAAATAGGTTGTTGCCCCGAGCTATTGTACCACCTGCCCTGGGCTGGTTGGTTGTGCTATCAACACAGTAGTTTTTCCTTAGAAATTGTATTTAAAGTTCTAAAATGTAACCATTTGACTTAATACAAGCTTTCAGCAATGACACAGAAGGGAAATGCATTTGGATATAATAAAATCACTTTTATTTTTACCATAGCAACATTTCAGCAAACATTTCTTGACTGATTTGGGAGAAAAGATCTGGTTTTATGATTCCTCATGACTTCTCCAAGGATGAACATATTCTTTCCAAAGAGCAGAGAAGGAAGCTGAATCATAAAATCATATGAACATTCTCACAAGAGGATTTCTCTTGAAGCTTGAAGGAAATAGTTTGCAGACAGATGAAAATATGCACTTATTTATGAAAAGGGAGCATAAACATTGGAACTCTAACCTAGATGCTCATATGGGTTTAAAAAAATTGGCAAATGCGAACTCACAGTTGATTACTCTGTGAAAAGGAATTCAGAGATGTTTAAAGCTCTTAACCTGTGAGGCCAATTTCATGGAAGAACTCTACCTCTACTTCAGAGACAGACAGTGGGCTAGGTAGCTGCATGTCTAGCCTGAAGTGGAATTTCTTACCATCTGTATACTCCCCCAAGACCCACAACAGATGGTTACTGAGTTGAAGCTTCCCACTGATTATTAATGATATCAACAAGCTCAGCTCTGGGAGCTGGCACTCCAGAAGCCCAGGTCAGGAGAGCAAAGGAAAGTAGAGATGGGAATAGAGTTCTGATTCCTAGCCCCATGTTTGATAGCTTCTCCCATTCAAAGTCCTGTCCCTGGACTACAAATTTAGTTCCTAGTTAGTAATCAGAAAACCATGAAAAATTTCTAAGATGCACCTGACATCTAAGATGATGTTTAAAAGGACAGTGGGAACCATGAAGAAAGGGCAGGATCTTTTTATTGGATCTAAGAGTGGACTGATGATGTGCCTGGCAAGGAACAAGAGGCTTTCTTACAAATCAGACATTGAGACTGAGATTCCTAATGACTAGAGAAAGAGAAAGGTGGCTGAGCATGGTGGCTCACACCTGTAATCCCAGCACTTTGGGAGGCCGAGGTGGGCAGATCACTTGAGGTCAGGAGTTCGGGACCAGCCTGGCCAACATGGTGAAACCATGTTTCTACTAAAAATACAAAAATTAGCCAGGCGTGGTGACAGGCACCTGTAATCCCAGCTACTGGGGAGGCTGAGGCAGGAGAATCGCTTGAACCCAGGAGGCTGAGGTTGCAGTGAGCTGAGATCATGCCACTGCACTCTAGCCTGAGCAACAAGAGCGAGACTCCATCTCAAAAAAAAGAAAAGAGAGAGAGAGAGAAAGGTGAGCTTGTGGACATATTGGACACATGGGACCCAGGGGCCTGCAACACTGTGTTTCGGGACAGAAGAACACAAAGGGTAATGCAGCCGAACATTCTGTTTCTTCCTTTCTCTTCTCTCCTTTCTTCCCTCCCTGAGAAACCACAGTAGCGTAAGTCTCATTCAACCAAACGGCTGTCAATTATATGAGTTGTACTTTTCTCTTGCTGAACAGCAAACTGGCTTTCCTCCTCTTCATCCTCCTCTTTCTGCCTATAGAGCAATCTCCTCCTGTCCATTCTGCAGGGCCGATAGGTCAGATACAGTGCTATGGTGATGACACCCACTCCAAGGGCAGTGGTAATAATGACAAAGATGGTAGAGCTGATTCCTTGATCCAGTCCTGCCCAAGCACAGATGACAGAGTTAGGAAAGTCTGAGGGTGTGAGGGTCACCCACCCCAGCCCAACCAAGCCCAGTTTCGAGTCTCACTCTTCCCAACCTAGTAGAATCTTTCTTATTTTCGTGCTTGGATAAGAATCCCAAACCCCTGAGGGGGTTCCATCCTGGGCCTGGCAGTAGGGCAGCAAAGGTTACCTTGAACAACGACAGCAATGTCTTTGCTGACAGAGCCCAGCTGGTTAGTGGCTGTACAGCAGTAGGTTCCTGTGTGGTTCTGGGTTGCCTTCTGTGGCACTTCAAAGTCAAAGGCCACCCCATTCCAGGTACACACCAAGGCTGGAGCTGGGTTTCCCTTTGGGATGCAGGCAAGCATGTGTTCCATCCCTTCTAGCCAGGTCTGTTTGCCAGGGCAACCAGATTCCTCTAACCGTGGCTTGTCTGCAAAAACAGAGTCTCCCAAGGAGCTGAGTTCAGAGCACCACACTCCCTCCCCACCTTCACACGCTGCTCCCTCTCCTCCCCTCACCCAAATGCCATCCCCTCTACCCAACAGCTTTCCTTCCCGAGGGAGCACTATCAGCACCCTGCTCTGAGCTAACTCTTCCTTCCTACCTTTCCTATGGGTAGGGAGTCTGAGATGAAACCTAGGGTATTTTTATGAATTCAGACTAAATGGTAACACTGCTCTGTCCATGGTGGCCCTGGGGCCCCTGCTTCCCATCTTGGCATCTCAGTGGGGAAGGAGCTAGGTAGTGGAGAACTCAGACATGAGGATTTTTTTACCTTTTTTTTGTTGTTGTTGTTTGTTTTTGTTTTTGGCTACAAAGTCTCACTTTGTAGCCCAGGCTGGAGTGCAGTGGCGCCATTTCGGCTCGCTACAACCTCCGCCTCCCAGGTGATTCTCCTGCCTCAGCCTCAGGAGTACCTGGATGACAGGTGCCCACCACCATGCCCAGCTAATTTTTGTATTTTTAGTAGAGATGGGGTTTCACCATGTTGGTCAGGCTGGTCTCAAACTCCTGATCTCTAGCCATCGGCCTCCCAAAGTGCTGGGATTACAGGTGTAAGCCACCATGCCCAGTCTATTTTCTCTACTTGGCAAAATACAAATTTGTATATGGAAATTTTGAATATGTCCCTCTTCAGCATAAACTCCAGCTATCACTTCCTCTGTTCTCCTCGGCCATCGACCCTCAACCACTGCTGCCTGATCACTTGAACCACTTTCCTTTATCTTCCAAATTTGCCCTCATCTCATTCCCCACTCACTTTCCTGGGCGTAAGGTAAGCTTGGAGAGCTTTCCTTTTATTCTCTCCTTTGTTTTTTTTAATGAGAAAAATGTGACAACTCTAATAATGAAGCACTGGCCAAGAAGCTCTCTAGAAATGGGAAAATAATGATCCTCATTTTGACAAGAAAGGTCAGGCCTCTACTCACATAGAACATGGAGCTGGATCACAGTGGTTTTCATCAACCGCTGACCCTGCACCTCCAAAGAGGCCTCGCAGGAGAAATTCCGGCCATCATCTTCCTCCATGGCAGTAAATAGAAGCCAGGCAGGCTCCCCAGGGGCAAGGAGATCTGGGGCTCCTTGAAGCCGAAGAGTAGGGCTGGGTGATGTTAATACATGCCCTGAGCAGGTCACATTAATGTCGGTCCCTGCCAATGGGTATGATTCTTTTAGCTCCAGGATTGGTGGAGGGAACCCTGTAAGAAAAGGAAAAAAAGAACCAGACACATTTATCAAAACTAGCAGACACTTGTGCATTCTTGCTGCTGGTGGAATCCCTTGGGAAGGCAGACAACAGGGGAAAGATTTGGATACCATTGCTGCTTCTGTAAAAGCTAAAGGGAAGAATGAGGTGATGTGGGGATTCGAGAGCTTCTCTTATGCATGCACACGTTTAGCTATGCTTTGCTGCAAGGACTGCAAGATGTATGTTCTTTTCTTTCTTTCTTTTTTTTTTTTTTTTTTGATACAGAGTCTTGCTCTGTCGCCCAGGCTGAAGTGCAGTGGTATGATCTTGGTTCACTGCAACCTCTGTCTCCTGAGTTCAAGCAATTCTTTGCTTTGCCCTCCCGAGTAGCTGGGATTAGCTGGCTCCCACCACCACGCCCAGGTAATTTTTGTATTTTTTATAGAGACAGAGTTTCACCATCTCGGCGAGGCTGGTCTTGAACACCTGACCTCGTGATCCACCTACCTCAGCCTCCCAAAGTGCTGGGATTACGGGCGTGAGCCACCGTGCCCAACCTAAGATGTCTTTTTCATCTTACAGCTTTCCTCCTCACCTCAAATAAATGTTCCTAAGAAGTAGTTCAGGCATCCACAATCACTCTGTAAGCAGGATGGCCTAAAGAAACTGGGGATGAAGGCTGGAAAGAAGTACTGTAGCAATACATGTCCCCAATCCGCCTGCATTTACCAGAGAAAGATGAAGACTCACGTTCTCTTGAGAATGTACCCAGTGAAGGGCAGCAGGAATATCTACAGCCAAATCACCAACCCGTTGCTCTGTGTTTTCAGCAGTAGAGAACCCGTATGAGAAAGGAAGAGGCAGGTCACTTACTGTAGCTGTGCACTAGCTTTCTTGTTTTCTGTTCAATTGGACCCAGAGATGCAAAGCAAGACAGCTCCTGATCACCAGCCTCCATGGCCCGAATGGTAGCATTGGCCCGTGCTATGTCCCCTTCCCAGGAAAGGAAGGAGCTCAGCTCCTGGTCTTCCAGGAACATGTGGAACATAACTTCTTCAGCTGGAAACACCCTAGCCACCTCGCAGCTCACAGTCTCCGCCATTCCAACCTCCAAAAGGGAAGAGACCCAGATCTGGGGACTCTGAGAGAATTCTGCCAAAAAAATAAGGACAAGGAGAGAAAGGAGAAAAGCCATGAGAAATCACATGTCATGCAGGACCCCACAAGGTAGGAAGGGATTTGGGCTAAAAGGTCTCTCTTCCCCAGGGTGAGTTTAAAGCCCAAGCAAAGGTGAAGCTCAGTTACTCTCATGCCCCCACCCTAAACCCCGTGAGAACGTAGTCCCAAAGGCCAAGGCAAGACGAGCAAAATGAGCCCCACAATTCCTCCTGCACCTGAGTTCTGACTCACCAAAGATGCGGAGTATTTTGATGGGTGAGCTGCCTTGAAAGAGCCTCCCACCTTGCAAACTCAAGTTCAGGTCTGCACGGCAGGAAAAACTGCACCTGTCATTTTCCCTTTGGGCTCTGACATGGATGATGACCTCAGCTCTTTTGGAGGCCACAGCCAAGCTCATAAAGTTCTTTCTATGCAGTTCTTGGTTACCCTGGAGAAGGGTAAGGGTGAGGTTCTCCAAGGGTGCTACTCTGGGCACATGACACCTCACTGTGAAGGCTTCATCCACAGCCACCCAGGCAGGCTGCAGCTCCAGAATCACTTGCTCTGGTGGCTCTTTAAGACAAAAAGGCAGGGCTTGATGAGAGTGCTACCCACCTCTCCAGAAAGAAATGGCATAGGACAGGAAGATGTGGTGATACAAATCACAGAAGGTGACTGCCACCCTTAAACTATCTGGTTAGCAATGTCAGCTTTCTGCCATCCCTGCCCTATATGGGGTGAGTTAGTCTTTTAGCCAAGACTCTCTTCCTCAGCTCATCGAAAGTGGCTAGGGCCATAGCCAAGAAGATGGACGTTGAGGGAGGGTCCCTTGCTTTGACTGTTGCTGCCATTCTGGAAAGCACTGATCTCTTGCAGAGGGGCTTCAGAGGCAAGAGGAGCTTCTGAGGTCTCCTTAGCATCACACAAAAACTATACTCTAGCAGGCCAGGCAAGGTAGCTTATGCCTGTAATCCCAGTACTTTGGGAGGCCAAGGCAAGTGGGCCACTTGAGGTCAGGCGTCTGAGATCAGCCTGATCAACATGGTAAGACGCTGTCTCTACTAAAAATATAAAAATTAGCTGGGTCTAGCAGTATGCACCTGTAATCCCAGCTACTTGGGAGGCTGAGGTAGGAGAATCACTTGAACCCGGGAGGCGGAGTTCACAATGAGCTGAGATCATACCACTGCACTCCGGCCTGGGCAACAGAGCAAGACTCCATCTCAAAAAATAAAAATAAAAAAATCATGGCCAGGCACAGTAGTTCAAACATGGCCATGCACAGTGGTTCATGCCTATAATCCCAACACTTTGGGAGACCAGGAGGAGGTGGATCACCTGAGATCAGCCTGGCCAAGATAGCCTGGCCAAGATAGTGAAACCCCTTCCCTACTAAAAATACAAAAATTAGCCAGGCATGGTGGTGGGTGCCTATAATCCCAGCTACTTCGAAGGCTGAGGCAGAAAACTGCTTGAACTTGGGAGGTGGAGTTTGCAGTGAGCCAAGAAGGCGCCACTGCACTCCAGCCTGGAAAGATGATTGGCTCTAGAATCCCTGTATTATAACAGAAATCTTTATTAAGGGCCTTAATTATCTCCCCTAATTAGAAACATTTGTCCAGTCCTTCCCTAAATAAGACATGTTCATGTTTCCCCATTCCTCCTTCCACCCCCCTGCCCCAGCCCTCAGCCCTACTCACGATACACAGTGATGCCAAGGCTTGTGTCCTTTTGAATCCCTGCACAAGAGAAGAAGCACTGCAGGATGGAATTCTCTGTGACATCCTCCAGAAGAAACTCTTTCCACTGAGGCCCTTTGCCTACCCGAGTTTTCTTCAAGAAGGTCTCAATTCCGCTGGGTCCTGGGTCTGGACAGGTAGTGCTGCAGTTGACCACTAGGGACTGTCCAAACTCCACCAGGGCCTGATTTGGCCAAACAGAAACCTCAAACAACTCTTCTGGGGCCCCTGAAATAGGAACCACATATGCCAATGACTCTGGCGAGGACCACAAGACCCAAACAAAATACAGAGCCTATTCTATCTAGTTCCAGCTTAGAGAACAGGAAACCTGCCCTGAATAAAAAGGTTCAGAGGACCAGACAGGATAAAAGACCTGTAATTAACAAGTTAGAGCCCTGATTCCACCACGATTCCCTCCACCTATCTTTTTTCTTGAGAACTTGAATTCTCTGTTAGTATCACTGTGGAAATTGTGGCATTGCTAAAAAAGTATGCCCAGGAAACCATTATCTTCCTAAACCTTCAGAATTCTTGAAAGCTCCCCAGGATAGGCTGCTGTGGACCATCACAGGATTCAAACTTTATTAGTTATCCCTCAAAGCAGTATCTCTCTCAAATTATGGCTAAGGATTGCCTTCACCGGCATCACCCTGAATGCTTGTAAAGTGCAGATTCCAACTCCACCTTAAAATGTACGATTTTTAGACATGGACTAGCTAAAGGGGACCTGTAGGGAAGCCTTCAAGACTTCCTGAAGTCCCTGTGCCCCTTACCTACATGTGAGAGTGGGACCTGAAAATATGCTAGTGAATAAAATAATCCTCCTGGGGACCCTTATGCACACCATATTCTGATCTCCACTGGCCTGCAGGTGACTCCCAGGGTCACTCATTTCCCATGGAGCTTTACGCCTCTTCTCAAACTGAGACCATTCTATTTTGATTTGGTGCTAAGGGAACGGATTTTTTTGTCAGTTGTTGTTGTTTCTGAGATGAAGTTTCATTCTTGTTGCCCAGGCTGGAGTGCAATGGCGTGATCTCAGCTCACTACAACCTCTGCCTCCTGGATTCAAGAGAATCTCCTGCCTCAGCCTCCGGAGTAGTTGGGATTACCAGCATGCACCACCATGCCTGGCTAATTTTTTATTTTTGGTAGAGATGGGGTTTCTCCATTTAGTCAGGCTGGTCTCGAACTCCAGACCTCAGGTGATCTGCCTGCCTTGGGCACCCAAAGTGCTGGGATTACAGGTGTGAGCTACCAACACACCTGGCCAGAACGGATGTTTTTGGATGCTTACAAATTTCATCTGTTCTGGAAATCTCTGATGCAGTGGGAGATGTTGGATGGATTTTATTTATTATTTTATTTTATTTTAGAGACAGTTTCATTCTTTTTGCCCAGGCTGGAGTGCAATGGTGCGATCTCAGCTGACTGCAACCTCTGCCTCCCAGGTTAAAGTGATTCTCCCGCCTCAGCCTTCCGAGTAGCTGGGATTACAGGCATGTGCTACCATGCCTGGCCAATTTTGCATTTTTTTTAGAGATGAGGTTTCACCATTTTGGCCAGGATGGTCTCAGACTCCTGACCTCAGGTGATTCGCCCACCTCAGCCTCCCAAAGTGCTGGGATTACAGTTGTGAGCTACCACGCCCAGCCTCAGATGGATATTAAATGCTTGATGTAGGTAAGGGGCATGGGGACTTCAGGAAGTCTTGAAGGCTTCCCTACAGGTCCCCTTTAGCTAGTCCATGTCTACCATCTACTTCACCTCCCATTTCCTTAGCGCCAAATCAAAATAGTTTTTTATTCCCAGTCTCCTCTGGGAATACACAACTCTTGTAGCAATGCTACCTACTAAGACTCCTGTTCCTTTCCTGTCATCAGGAGAACTCACTTTTCGTACCTGAGCAATGGGTCCTGTCCTACTAAGACCCTATTATACTTCATCGTGACACAAAGGGTGGCAACAAGGAAGTAAAATTGTTCTCAAGAGGAGAAACACAGGGCACTCCTGGGGCAGAAGGGAACCAAGTAGAGAAGGCATATCTCCTAGGGAGAGTCCTCTCTGATAGTCTATTAACTCTGATAGTCTATTATCTCAATTACAAGCCAGAGACCCTAAGGATTCTGTGTCCTAGTGATCCAAGAGATAGGAATCACTCATCAAGCCAGATGAATGAACACGGAAGTGTCACCCCACTCAGGATGCCCCACCCCCTTCCTCACTGACCAGCTACCTGTGTACTGGCACATATCGGTTAAAAAACTTTCCCAAATAGCCTTACCTGGGCAAAGAATCAAGGCCAGCAGGGCCCAGACACCAAACAGACTCGTTTTCATCCTTATGAGAAGGGCCAAAGGCTAAAGAGAAAAAAACAGCAATGCTGGAGAAAGTCACACACACACACACACACACACACACACACACACAAACATATGTTTAAGGAAAATTATTTCTTTGATATTATTAAAAGTCAGCCCCTTTCCTGAAACCTCACTAGTCTACAAAAATTACAGAAAAACATCACAGTGAACGTGGACTAAAAGAACTTCTTGTATTACGTCTGTTTGTTTCAGTTTGGCTTGTATGCACAGAAAAAGATGAGAAGAAATACGAAAAAGAATGAGGCTATTATCAAGATTCCTGTATAAGTTGTATTCTACTTACCTTTCTACTAGTTTGCCTCCATCTATTAGACTGAGTCAATAGAAGGTTGCTGTCATGGAAACATGAAGCTAGACATGTTTCCACGAGTCAAAACAACTACTGACTCAGTCTAATAGATGGAGTTTAGGCTGGGCTCGGTGGTTGATGCCTGTAATCCCAACACTTTGGGAGGCCAAGGTGAGTGGATCACCTGAGGTTAGGAGTTCAAGACCAGCCTGGCTAACATGTCAAAACCCCATCTCTACCAAAAAACTATAAAATTAGTTGGGCATGGTGGTGCACACCTGTAAGCTACTTGGGAGGCTGAGGCAGGTGAATTGCTTGAACCTGGGAGGCGGAGGTTGCAGTGAGCCGAGGTTGCACCATTGTACTCTAGAGCAAAACTCGGTATCAAAAAAAAGTTTAAACTGTCGGAAAGTGTTGGCCTGCACTCCAGCCACTGGGTGTGGGTCTGTTGCAGGAGAGGGGCAGGCAATGTGGGGAGGGTGGGGACGAATGCTGTTGGATTGCTTTGGCTGTGCAGTGTGCACTAAACTTGGAGTCCGTTTGGGATTCTCGCCCTCCATTCATAGTCAAGGATTTCTTGCTGTTTGTTTTGTTTTGTTTTTCCTTTGCTTCCTTCTTTCTTTCCTTCCTTCCTTCTCTCCCTCCTTCCTCCTTTCTTTCTCATCTTCCATTCATTTTCAAGGGTTTCTTACTGTTTTCCCTTTCTTTCTTTCTTTTTTCTTTTTCTTTTTTTTTTTTTTTTTTTTTTTGAGTTGGAGTCTCTGTTGCCAGGCTGGAGTGCAGTGGTGCAATCTCGGCTCCCTACAACCTCTGCCCCCCAGGTTCAAGTGATTCTCCTGCCTCAGTCTCCTGAGTAGCTGGGACTACAGGCAGGCCACCACGCCCAGCCAATTTTTGTATTTTTAGTAGAGATAGAGTTTCACCATGTTGGCCAGGATGGTCTTCATCTCTTAATCTCGTGTTCCACCCGCCTTGGCCTCACAAGGTGCTGATGTTACAGACATGAGCCACCACACTCGGCTTTTTTTTTTTTTTTTTGAGACGGAATTTCACTTGTTGCCCAGACTGGAATGCAGTGGCCAGATCTCGGCTCACTGAAACCTCTGCCTCTTGGATTCAAGCGATTCTCCTGCCTCAGCCTGCCAAGTAGCTGGGATTACAGGCACGCACAACCGGCGCCCAGTTAATTTTTGTATTTTTGGTAGAAATGGGATTTCACCGTGTTGGCCAGGCTGGTCTCGACTTGAGGTCGAACTCTTGACCTCAAGTGATCCGCCCACCTCGGCCTCCCAAAGTGCTGGGATTACAGGCCTGAGCCACCATGCCCTGCTGCTGTTTCTTATAAATACAAGTCACACTGGGCCTTTGCACTGTCTCCTCCATTTGCCTGGAATTCACTTCCTCCTCCCCAAACTCTCCTCTACCCGGTTCAGTGTCTCTTTTTTTTTTTTTTTTTTTTTTTTTTTTTTGAGATAGAGTTTCGCTCTTGTTACCCAGGCTGGAGTGCAATGGCGCGATCTCGGCTCACCGCAACCTCCTCCTCCTGGGTTCAGGCAATTCTCCTGCCTCAGCCTCCTGAGTAGCTAGGACTACAGGCATGCGCCACCACGCCCAGCTAATTTTTTGTATTTTTAGTAGAGACGGGGTTTCACCATGTTGACCAGGAGGGTCTCGAACTCTTGACCTCGTGATCCACCCGCTCAGTGTCTCTTTGCAACGTGGCCTACGCTGACGACGATCTTCTCAGCTCTCCCTGCCCAGGACCCCACCGCAGCGCCCCCTGCTGCCTACTGCTTTCCCTTCGCAGCGCCGTCGCCGTCTAACACCCAACTTGCCCATGACGCCTGAAATCAGCGGCTCTGTTTCCCCTGGACTGTAAGCCCCAGGAAGGCAGCACCCTTCGTTTCATTCACTCATGGATCCTAAGCACCGGGAACGTTACAAGCGTTCAACGACTTCGAATTAAAGACAAGGAAATGCACGAACGAACGCACTAGATAGATGGGTACCAATCCTTCTGCGAGGGCTGCTGACCCCTGCGTAGACACAGGTCACCGGTCCAGCTCTTGCTGGGACGGGGCCTCGGGTCCAGTAGGGAGAGGGGCACGGACACCGTGTGGCCACCAAGGCTCTTCCGGAGCGGGGACAATCCCCAACACACGGGAGAACACGTGCAAAAGGCACTTCCACCCGGCTTCTCCGGGCTTCCAGTGCCGGCCAAGGAAAACAGGACCGAAATCCTCACCGAGCCGCGGCAGCTCGTTCGCACGCCTCTCGGCCTCGCCCGGCCCTTCATCGCTGCTTCTGCCTCGGCTCCTCAGCCTCGCCCGCTTGGCCGTCAGGCACCAGCCACGCGCTCAGACCGTTTGGTCCGCACCGCCAGGCGGGGGCGCGCGAGGGTGCGGCGGGAGAGCTGATCTTCCTGATCTGCCTAGAAACTCGTGACGTCCACGTGAAATCTCAGCAGGGTTGGCTGAGACGAGAAGGGCGGGCAGGAAGCTACAACGACTGGAGGGGAACGCAGGGAAAATGAGGGCGGGCAAGCCTGAATCCTGTGGGGCAGAGAGCGCGTGTTTGGTGCCACATAACCACTTCCGAATAACGCAACGTGGAAACAAAAGGAAAGGGATCGTTGTGGCAAATAACGGCTGTATAAGGAAAACAGAGGTTGTGTTCCGCTGTGGCTGTTTTCGTGGTGCGGCCCGGACACGTGAGCCGGCCGGCGCCTCAGCTGCGCGCGAAGCCTTGTGCCCGCCTAGGGCAGCTGGCTCGCTCCCTGGCGGTCTGGGGGAAGTGTTTGGCGGAATTTTGGCAATTGTCAGTTTGCGAAAAGTCCTTTGTTTGTTTGAGACGGAGCCTGGCTCAGTCAGCCATGCTGGAGTGCCCGTGGCACAGTCTCGGCTCACTGCAACCTCCGGCCCGCCCCGTGTTCAAGCAATTCTGCCTCAGCCTCCCGAGTAGCTGGGACTACAGGAATGCGCCACACGCCCGGCTACTTTTTGTATATTGAGTAGAGATGGAGTTTCACCATGTTGGCCAGACTGGTCTCTAACTCCCAAGCTACGGTGATCCGCCCGCCTCGGCCTCCCAAAGTGCTGGGATTACAGGCGTGAGCCGCCGCGCCCGGCCATTTTTTTTTTCCCTCTCCCTTCCGCGTTTCCATATTCGTCCTCCATTTTTCCACTTGCAAATAACACGGTTGAGCCCCCAGCGTCCCTTTCTCGCTTCCCGCCCAATGTGCCGGCGCCCCGCTCACTCCCCGCCTCCGGAGCTGTGTGTCCAGTTGCAAAAACGGGGTGAGCGAGGAAACGCCCCTTCTCTGCATCTCCGCCCGGGACCCCTTTCCTCAGCTTCCGTGCCAAACCTCTTCCTGGAGGGAAGACTCTGGAGGTCAGTTCCCGAAGCGTTCACCCTGACACCGAACTGAGCCGTTCCCATCTGGTTTCCTTTTGGGTCTTTGGCTCTCCCTCAATCCTTGGCCCTGATCGCGAGCCACGGGCTCCGTTTCTTGGTGCAGTGAGTGTGAGGATTTGGGTTTATTTTTATTTTTCCAGGAGGACAATTAAGTGCTTCGACCATCGAATATAGGCACACTCCATGGGGCCGGTGTTACCGCATTTTCTGCATCGGGTAACAGACCTGGAGAGGCCTCGCTCTTCAGGACGTGGGGGTGGCAGGCAGGGGAATTATTAATGTTACTGGCAATTTTCGTGTCTGTTGTACGTTCTGAGCACTATTTCTTGCCCTGCAAGAATCTTTTATCAACCCGCATGTTTCTTTTTGGACTACGAGCAAGTGGCTTCTTGGGCCAAGGCTGGGCTGTCTAGGGTAACTCTACCACTGCCTGTTTCCTCCTTCCTTACTGATCATTTGAGGGAGAAAGAGAATCAGAAGCTTTGGAGTCAGAAAAGCCTGCCTATGAATCCCTTTTCAATACCTTACCAGCTTTCTGACTTACCGGAAAATTACAAAACTTGTAGTAATGTCCTCATCTTTTGTTTTTGTTTTTGTTTTTGAGATGGAGCCTCACTCTGTCGCCCAGGCTGGAGTACAGTGCCGCCATCTCGGCTCACTCCATCCTCCACCTCCCGAGTTCAAGCGATTCTCCTGCTTCAGCCACCCGCGTAGCTGGGACTACAGGTGCCCACCACCACACCCACCAATTTTTTTTTTTTTTTTTTTTTTTTTTTGCATTTTTAGTAGAGATGAGGTTTCACCATTTGCCCCAGGCTGGTCTCGAACTCCTAACCTCAAGTGATCCACCCGCCTTGGCCTCTCAAAGTAGTGAGAATACAGCCATGAGCCACTGTGCCCAGCCAGGAATGACATTTTGTTTATGTGCATGACAGAGCCTACCATTGATATTGACACCAAGTAGGTGTTCAATAAATGGTAGTATGTGTTTTCATTTCACAATCTCAGAAATACCCTCCCTGGCTACTTTCCCTATAACTTCCTGGCTTTTTCTTTTTCGTTTTTGTTTTGTTTGTTTTGAGATGGAGTCTCACTGTCGCCCAGGCTGAAGTGCAGTGGCATGATCTTGGCTCCCTGCAACCTCCGCTTCCTGGGTTCAAGCGATTCTCCTGCCTCAGCCTCCCAAGTAGCTGGGATTACAGGCATCTGCCACGAGGCCTGGCTAGTTTTTGTATTTTTAGTAGAGATGGCC